GCCTCCTTCTGCCTGTTACATACATTTTAACAAAACCATTATACCCTGATTTCCCATTTTCAATGGGTTCAGGGTATAATCAAGAATAGTTAGAATTAACTAAGAGCTCAGCAGATCTATAGCTCCTATTTAGTTTATCTTTGAAAGAGGTATTGATAAGACTATCGACTAGAGTTAGACTTAGATCAACTAAATAATACTATAGCAGCAATGAGTACAGAAAATTATTAAAATAGTATATCCGATGGGGATATTTTCCTTATCAGAACAGTCAGCTATGCCTAAATTCTCCTGCAAATATGGGAAGTGATATTATAAAATTATGGGAGTGAGAAATTGTTAATTAAAAACATAAAACTAAAAATTTAAATGGATCCTAGGTATAATTATAAGTAATAAATTCGAGATTAGCTACGATTGACTACGATTTTACCAGGTCTAACATAGCCAACGTGAATAGGGTATATTAACGCCAGCAGCGATCGCGACGACGCCAGCTACATGACAATCGATTTGTGCTGCTCTGTATGCGATTGCTACAGCTACTAACGTGCCAATGCAAGGGTTCAAAAGGGCTCCAAAGCATGCACTCGCACAGAAGCGGACACATGTGCGATAGACCAGGGGGGAATACCATATATAAACTAAGAAATAAAAATCCAGCCATAGAGAAATCGCTCTGATCTTTAAGCTGGCCCTGTTTCTCTCTGCTGCTGTAGCTGTAGCTGTTGCTGTTGCTGTCCATCAGATGCATTTGAAATTTTTACAGATACTTAAAAGCAGTCAAAACACAACCCAACTAGGAAATGGCAGCAACATCTAGCAAGGAATTTAGTTGCAACAGTAACAGCAACAGCAACAACACTAAGAGACAAACAAATATATGGATAGAGCTGGCAGGTCTGCAGTTCGCTTTTTTTTACAGTTTCTTACAGTTGCCGCAGCAAAATGTCATTGCATGATAATGAGCAGCTCGACCAAGTCCAAGTCAGATGCAGCTGAATGAATGATAAAATATACTTTAAATGGTCGTTTCGACTGTTGTCTGTCTCAGCTAGCGGTTTCTCTGCCAGTTAGAAGCCATTTTAACTGGTTCACATCATTTTCAAAGTAGCTCACTCAGGCTTCCACTGCGACTGTAAGTCCAACTCCGACTCCGAGTCTGACTCTGACTCCGACTCAGAGACTCAGGCTCTGAATCGTTCGTAGTCTTACAGATTGTCAGCTCAAGATGCCGTAGATCTCTGTTTTTGTTTGTCAAACGTTTCGGGGTTAGGCAAAGTTCATTTAGGTCGATGTCGCCGTTGCACTGACGCTTACCCTGTTGCGGCGCGTGTTGCGCATGCTCAAGTAGCAACTGCAAGAGCAACAGCAACTGCAACTGGAACTGCAACTGAGACTAGGACTATGACTGTAACTGTGACTGTGACTGTGACTGAGACTGAGAGTTGAACTGTGGCCTGCCTCTGTGGGCTATCGCCGCTAAGTAGCTATGTTCAGGGACTAGTACATAATTTGGCAGCAACAGGCAGCAGCAGCAGTTGGCAGAAGCGAGTGATTGGCGCTGTCAAGCTAACCTAACGAAGAATGGCATCGTTTGTTTGCCGTTGGCAAAGTATCTGGCAGATCATCTGCCTAAAATCAAATGATCTTGCACACAGATTGAGTTGCTTTCGGATTTAAGTGCTGTTTATTTAATTAAAAATACACAATTGGTCAGCTGACATCTACATAGATTCAAATCATAGCCAAGTGAAGGGCTGTCATGGCTGAAGTACTGTGCCCTTTTTTCTTAACCTCTACCACATCTACTTCATGTAAGAGCAACACTTTCAACTTGACTTCATTTCATTTGTCAGCTTTTTATCATTGAATATTTATTGTACACTTGGCTAACGGTTACGGAGATCAAAGCGTGGACCGCCAGCCGCTAACTACCGGCTAGAGTCTTCGGTTAATAGAAACACCTGTGTACATAAATTAAACGCACCACCAAATGCCGCCCAGAAAAATTCTAATTTGCAGTCGAGCGAGCGCCTCGCACTGGAAACGCATGCATTCAATATATGTATATACACTATCAACAGAAGAATAAGAAGTGCTATAGCTTCTTTCTTTGCTTTACAACATTGATGATTCCTATAGAAAGAGAATACATTTTGATTTCGACTATCTCGAACGCCAACTTGATTGAGAAGATAAGATTTTAATAAACTCCATAAAGTATAACTAGTCCCAATTTCAGATTAGAATCGCATTGTAGGGAGTTTAAGCTTTGCTATGCTATTAGCCCAGCCCTTTATTTCATTTTACTTCGTTTTACCTCTTCTATGGCTTTTTGTGTTACTAACTCAAAGCGCGCTTACGCTCGAAGCCAAAGTACTCACAAAATAGTTGGTCCGACTGGGTTAGAAAATGGGAGTGGGGTTGCGTTTGGAAAAAGGGAACGGAACGGGAATGGGAATGGGCATGGGATTGTGGAGCGGGTTACGTGTAACGGGCCGTGGCTGGTTAGTTTTGTATGGAAATTGAATTCTAAACAGGTCTCGCCCGCCAACGCCTAGTCGGCCCCCTCGGCACATACACCTTCTGCACCATCGCTTATTGTGCGCTGAAGCACGCACACCAACACTAACACCAACAGCAACAGCTAAAGCATTGGCAGCAGCAACAGCAGCAGTAACAGCAACACTCGACATAGAGTCGTACATTTGGCGTTATAAAGTAGCAGCGTGACCGAATCAGATAAGAAAGTTGACACATTTTCACCATATATTTTGACATTTGACATTCCGCATTAGACGCGGGCCGCTGGTCAGCAGCGCTGGCCACCCGCTGCTCGCCCCTGCCCCGCGCTCGGTTGTGGGCATGACGTGAACGCTTTTGCTGCTCCGCTTGGGATTTCGCATGTTGCGAGAGCGCCGCGAGCCGACCCTGCCGAGGGTTGACTGGACGACCCCAGACCTCGGCTCTGACGCTGGCTTGGGCTCTGGCTCTCGCGCTGTCCATGGGCCATGGGCCATGGGCCACAGCCACAGTCACCCGCTGTGAGCTGTTAAGGTTACTGAACCTACAATTAAACACGCAGAACGCCCACAACAGCAGCAGCAGCGGCAGCAGCAGCAGCAGCGTGCACAGAGCTCAAATGCGGGCGCTACTCGAAAAATCCCAAAGAGCCCCAATCCCAGTGCCCTAATGAATTTTACAAATTATATTTGGTTTTTATTTGTTGATTTTTGCGCCTAATTGCTGACAAATATTACAGTTCTTGTTGTTGCTGTTGTTGTTGTTGTTGTTGTTGCTTATGTTATTCTCCACTTTAGACAGTGGCATTTTATGGGCAATAAAAAGTTATTGAAACGCGCATCGCTTCCAGTCAAAGTGAATGACATGTGTAAATATCTATGCATATGTGTGCTTTTATTAGGGTCTCGAAAGGCTTTGCTGTGGCCCGAGTCGCCTTTATGTTATCAGCCAGAATTAGTAATTGAAAATTGGTGTGTCATCGTTAAAACGCTTCATTCGGCTTTATGAATCACAAAACGATGTACTCGCTTTTGAAGCTGCAATAAACTTTATAATAAGTATACAATATTATTGAATGCCTTGGCTGGGATTGGGGCATTCGAAATCGAGTTGAAAAACAAGCAAAAACATATGTCTTCACGGGCCAAAAATAGTATTCCATTCTAAGCAAAGGGCTCTCCGAATCTAAAATTTTATTGTTCATAAATGGCAATGAATTAACAATAATTCGGATTTCCATTACGTTGCCTCTGTTTTTCATTATTCAGAAAATCTTATAAAATTTACATCCGTGCATAGACTTGTTTCTAGATTACAAACATCTTATTCTTGTTTAAAAACATCACACAAAAATATATATTAAATTATAAACAAATAAAAAATTGTGTGTATTTTTTTGTTATATTATTTTATTATGACATTAATAGTTTTTAATTTATATAACAAAGTCTTATTAGTTTTCCCAGTACCAATTTTTTTTTGCCATACTCAGAAATTTTTTAGCATTTTTTATAAAATATATTTTGCTTGCTCATTTATAGTAATGTTGTCTGTAATAAAAATGATGAATCATACTTTGTTTAGTATGATATTAAAAATAAATTTATATAGATTTTAATATGGCTGAGTAGTTTAAAAGCTCCAAATGAAACCATATAACAACTTACACTTTTAGCTATTTGTTATTTTGTCGTTTCTTACAACTGATGGATAAATATCTGATATGGGATTTTTTCGAGTATAAGCATAAGATTGGAGAACATAAAAAATGTCTTGGGCTTAGAATGGAGCACATTCGTAAAAGAGTGCACACAAACGTACAAACTGAGATATAACTATTATATATTTTATACAATTAATCATACAGAACAAGACAGCATGCATTTAAAGCTTATAAACGAAATTGAAATTTCGAAGGGCAGTCATCTGTAATGAGATTGCTCAGCGCATTGGCAATTAAGTGGGGCTCGTAAAGCAATAATTCGATATAATTGAATGCCTGTGTGCTTGCTGCTGCTTATCTCTCTCGTTCACATTGACACAGTGGGAAGAGTCTATATCACATTATGCATGGAGCTTTTAAAGGGGTCAGCTAAGCGTCGCTGTCGGCGCTAATGGCGACGCCTTATTTATGCGGCTGTCGACTGTGCTTGGTGGGTCAACGAGTGGCCCGGCCCGAGAATAACGATTGTGGCATATCTGGCGGAGGGGGCGATGGGAGCGATGAAAGCAGAGGCGGGCCAATGCGACACCAGCAACAGAGTGCTGCCGCCTAATTGTTGGCTCGAGTTCTATTGCGTTGTGCTCTATGTGTGTGTGTGTGTGTGTGTGTGTGCCTTATGTGGCACTAATTTGTAAATTGTTGCCGTAATCGCAACATGCTTTGCTGCTTATTAATTTCAATGAGGGTGGCAACCAAAGAAGTAGTCGACGTCGCGACTTTTGTCTCTTTAATTATGCTGATAATTGATTACGGCCAGCTGGGCTGCATGGCGTGGCCTATCTGCGAGCAATAAGATTGAAAGATTTATGCTACAACAGTCGATTGTGCTCCCATTCAGCCACTCATCCCCGTCCCCTGCCGGCTCCTCCCTAACTCTAGCTGCAGCCACGCATAACCAAACATGACTCAAAATTATAGCATTGCAAAATATGACAGCGAAAGGCGAGCCCCTCTTGAACATTGCTAGCGGGAGGGGCGCTTGAGCCAGGCACCAGGGCTGGGTCTGCAACTAACATCACTCAGGGCGTGCTGGCAAGCGGAAGTGCGTAGCCTGTTCATTAGAAATGCAAACGCACCTTTTTCTGCCCGCCGACGAGGCCTTCGCCGTCGCCGTCGCTGTTGCCGTTGCCGTTGCCGTTGCCATTGTTGCTGCTCTCGGCTGCGTTCGAGTAGTTTACATGGCTATTGGACTCGCGGCTCTTTTCGTAGGGTAACAGTCCAATGACTCCAGGCCGTTGTCAACGCCCACAAATCGCCCACATCTAAGCATCTGCGCGGCACTTTTGGTGGCCATCGACTTTCGGCCAGTTGGCTGCTGCGGCATTTCAATTCTCGATTTCCTCAATGCAACACGCCGCAAAAACAACGAGAACGACTGGCTACTGTTAATTGCATATTTGTCGAGGGTCCGCTCAACGCTGCTGCTGTTGCTGCTGCCAAGAGGCAACAGCCTGGGTCGAGCTCTGCTCTGCGCAAATCCGACGGCAATCGCAGCAAACGCGTAGAAATTGCAAAACTAATTAGAGCCTTGGCCTGCAGTAGCTGTTGCTGCTGCTGCTAGAGATTGCTGGTTTTATACACAGTAGCAACTGCCACTGCAACGACGACGGCTGGGGCAACGGCAACTTGCCCAGTTACCGCAAAATATTGCACGTTGAATAATTGCACTTCCGCTTGATAATGCATTGTTGGATTTTATAAATATTTTCCATGCCACCATGCCAGTTGCCGCTGCTGCTGCTGTTGTTGCTGCTGCTGCTGCTTCTGCTGCTGCTACTGTTGATTGTAAGCTGAGAGGTCAGGCTACCGTCTGCAAGACAGGAACGAACAGCTATGTGCCTGACAGGTGAAAATATACGCGCAGGTGTGCATGGAGGAGAGCAGACCCTCTCACTGTATGATTAGTAGACGAGTGATCTAAATCTAGTTGAATCCATCAATTGCAGTAGACATATTCAGATAATGTTGCCTCAACCTTATCGAGCTAGACCCAAGGTAATTGCACTTGTTTTCCATCCACTCTCGTCCGTTATTAAAGTTTCGATAGCGAGAGAGTTGCGAAAATCTGTCCGACAGTCGCATTCATCATTCATATATGCAACAGTGCAGTGCGTGCCACGCCCACTTGCCAGCACTCAGACACACACACACGTGGCACGCATCTAATTTTGCATAACGGGCCTGGAGTCAGAGTTGGAGTTGAAGTTCTTGTCATTATCGCGCTGCATGCAAATAAAGCTCTGCATGTGCCTTAAGTCGACCCCAAATGACTTCTTCGTCACGGCTCCATGTAATTTGTGGGCGTAACGCAAAGGACACGCCCCCATGCGCTGTTTGCCTAGCCGCTAGCTGATGGAAGGCTCCGCGCTGCGACGAGCTGCATTCTGGTCAAGTGTTGCACATAACAGACGGACTGGCTAATGACAAACGACACGTACGTGCCAATAACCATTTGTATCTATTTGTCACGGCTGTACCCGCGCCCAGCGCCACCCTTCTGCCTATGGCCGAAACACCTTACCGAACGCTTCCCTGATCCCTCATCGGGCAACGTAAACAACGCTTTGATTTAATTAACGTTACATTGACCAATTTTGGGCGCGAGCTCTGTGCTACAAAATCGTTTAAGGAACAACGAGAGAGAGAGAGAGAGAAAGACAGATCGAGTGAGAGACGAGGAAGAGCAGGCGTAGAGCTGCCACCAATGCAGTCATTACCATCATTAAGGCAATATCATTTCCAGGCCCCTACGGTCGCTTGGTATGGCGGGAGCGCATTTCCCAGAAATGCATTAGCCCCGCTCCAATATGGTCTAATAATTCATGCCACATAATATAATTATGGTCCGGTGCGCAGCTAGCTCCATGGCAGACGGTATGGCACGGCACTGGCCATGGCCACAACTGGTCCATAGACCGAGAGGCAGCCAGTCAGCGAGCCAGGCCGTTGCGAGAGCTACTGTATCTCAAATATGATTGATATCTGTGCGCTGCAGGCAACGCGCATTCATCTTCACTTAGTTATGTCAGTCATTTAAGGCAGCGGCCGGCAACGGCAACGCGAAATGGAGCACATGTCTCAAAATGATGATGAAATGTGCACATTTTCTAGGAATTTTCAAGCAGCAAACGATCGAAACGCACTTTGTATTGCCAATGGAGCAGCAGCAGCCGCATCAGCCACATCAGCCGCAGCAGCAGCAGCAGCAGATCTGCTGCAACTTTAGTCAGAGTTGGAGTCTTGAGAGCGAGACTGACCATCGCCAGCATCGACTGTGCAACTCATTCCGTTTGCCCAACTTGGTCATCGTCAACGAGCCATAATGAGTCGCGGCGGAGGCAGTTGTTGCATTTGCAGCACGGACACTAGCTGTTGCCTGTCTGTCAGCTGTTGACAGCCGTGGCATGTCAACATACTAAAATGTAAAACATTCAGCGAAGCATTGATTAAAATTGCTTTCCTTTACAAATTAAATAGGCAAAGTGTTAGCATTTAGGAATACCAAAAATGTAAACGATATAAATATGGACTGAAGCGTCTAATTTGTCCAACTGATCGTAAGGGAAATGCTGCTCGTTAAGTCATTCAGTGGTGGGAAATTAATATTATTTTCAGTAATATTTTATGTATGTATATTTAGTTTCATTGAAAAGGGATTTATCATATTATACACGGTTAAGGATTGCTTATCAGTTTCGTTCGTAGTATTGATTTCAAAACACTTAAAATATTCTAGCCGTGGCTGCTCTGCAGTAAAACGCTTTTACATCTAAGTCAACACTTATGGTCTCCATAACTGCAGCATTTGCATCTCTCATTCAATCATTGCTCCTCCATTGCGGCTCTTCAAGTAATTTTCATGACTTCATATTTGATAGCTTTATTTTTCGTTTTCATTTAGACTACATAATTTTAAAGTCTAAGATATTATCTCCTGGAAAGAATTTCTTATTTAAAGCTTTATTCCATTTAAAAAATATATTTTCCTTTATAACAAATTTTATCATATATTTATATTTGTTATAAAGGAAAATATATTTTTTAAATATATATATATATATATATAATACACAACACAGGGTACTATTTATATATGTATTTGAATTTAATTTTTTTTCCATGTAAACAACAACAACAACATGCAAAATATTTCAGTTTTCCTTCAACTTCCGCTTTTATATGAACTACATACATATATCATAATAGGCGATTGGGTATTTGGTCAACAACGTGAGCCGCAATCACGTGGCCATCTCTAGTCGGAGAGCTGAGTCCATCTGTGTGACCGCAGGGCGCGTCGAGTCTGCGAACAAGTGCATATGCAAGAGCAGGGCCTGGGCCTGGGCTGTTGTGAATATACTTCAAAAGTCAAATGATCCATTGCTGGCCCGCATTCGATGGCTAGGCATTCGATGGCCATTCGATGGCTATTAATATGCACTCTAAGTGATGTGAATTACAGTAATTTTTGCACAGCAGCGCTTTGATGGCTGTCTAGGCCGACTTTATAGCCGCAGTAGGCCTGCGGCAGCCAGCACCCGGCAGCCGGTAGCTGTGGTGGCAGTAATTGAAACCTCTTTAGTGTGGCTAAATGCCAAGGCAACGAGCGAGCGGAGCAGTGCATGGGGCGGGGCGGACACACAGCATCGAACATCCTCATGCTCAGCTCAAGTGCGCTATGAGCCATAATTTTTGCATAGTTCTTGGCACGTTTTTGTTTCAGCTGGATCATGCCCGGCATGCTCGCCGTCCAACCAAACTTGGTAGCTAGTTGTGGCATTTTGGCCCCCAGCCTTGAACATATTTGCCAAGCATTTTGTGTGGCCAACCAGACAGCAGCAAGCAGCAGGCAGCAGCCAGCAGCCAGCAGCCGCCTTCGACTTTGCCGTCGCAGTCGCAGTTGCAGCCCATTGATCTGCAATGAATTATGCATGCCAAGATACGAATAGCCGAATAGTCGCGTTGTGAAATAATCGGATAGTGGGGGAGTTGCTGTGGCTGCTCGGGTGCGATTTATGGCGCGGCAGATGGCATGCAATGCATAAATAATCATGATTATAATATATTATAAAGCAAATGTGTATATTACACGGCGCCTGAGCAAATTGCTGAGGATATGCTGCGGCGATGAGGAGCGCCTGCAGAAGAGAGTAGAAAGGAGAGAGAAAGAGAGCTGCAGCTGGAGGGTGGTTGGCGTTACTGCTTGACTCGCAGCACCGTTATTTTGCAATTACAATGCAATTACAATGATAGGAAATGAAGTGCATTTAAGCGTGCGCTGCACTACACCGGCAACACCAACACCAACACCAACGCCACCGCCATAGCCACCCACCTAACCATCCTTGGCACTGCATATCCGGTCGATTGGTTTGTCGGTCGGTCGGTTGGTCGGTTGGCTTAACTTTTCCAACTTTGGCCAGCAACAACGACAAATGCTGTTAACTTTTGTGTTTGATGCGTTAATACGTTAATAAAGTGTGTAAATTGCGGCCAGTGTTTATCGCAGGCCACGAGAACGTGGCTGGGCGTTGGCGAAGGCGGTGGCGGTGGCGGAGGGGAGGAGGAGAAGGCATATTACTTGCCCCAAGGCTCAGCTAACCGAGCCG